CCATTGACATACAAAATGTAGAAATATGATATTATATTATTCCTATGGAAATGAATGAAACTATGCCTATCGAAACCGATCTATATATGTTTCTATAAAAAAGAACACAATAAAATGAACACAACAATTGTTCTATTTCTTCTGCCAGGGTCTTTCGGAGTTATTGATAATCTAGCTGTTCTGCTAAATCAAATGATTTCTTCCAAAGCAATTGCTGTTTAGCGTGAAGATGTTTTACTTTTTAATTGTATCTCATGAACAGAGTAGATAGAACCGAGTCTGTGATTTTAAAGTTTGTGTTCGGTTTCACATTTCTGTAGTAATCCCCCGTTTTCCAAAAAAACATATCCAAATAATTTTCCTTACACATGACTAGTCTCGTTATCACAGAAGTGGAAACCAAAGATATTAAATGCGAAGTTTTCTAGATTCCCTTTGGAAGTTAACCATCAGTGAATTGAAACCAGCTTGCATCATTTTTTATTTATAAATAAGTTCCTAAGCTTGTAATTTAAGAAAAGTTTTCTTTAAAGTAATAAATATCATCTAGAACAAATTAAACAAAACCAAATGCACATGAGGCGGTCGGTCCATGTTTTGAAGCATAACTGCCGGTGAAAATGGTTGCAAAAATTACATTACTTGAACAAAATTGGATCAAATTAAGGTATCATACGCAATGGTTTCTTTAGCTTCTCTGTTCTTGACCTTTTAGAAAGACATTTTAGCCAAAATATTCAAATAGTTTTGTAGATAATAAACTATTCTGTATTTAGAATGTGACTAGTTAAATTGTGCATTATGGTCCTGCAAAAGACATTAATTCTACATCGAAGTACTTGAACTTTAATATATAGACAGGCAATTTTTTTAAAGTAGAGAGTATCCTGCAAAGCATTATTACCGAACGTGAACAAATATGAGACGCGTCACGACAAAACCAATGTAATGCGTTTGCGACCAGCATGGATCCAGGCCAGCCTGCGCGTGTCGAGTGACATATTTTATTCCTATTTAGTTTTGTCGACTCACTTACAATTATTTGTACAAAGAAAAACTTTGAAGTTGTTTTTGAAAATTGTTATCGTGCAATTTTATACATAGGATTGCTTTATCTTGTAAAATTTAACACATGCAAGAACCTTGAATCAAATTATATCGAAAGTGCTTCTTCTATTTTCTATTTGTTTAATCCTCTGTAAAATGCAATTTTTCGGTAAATTAGATAAGTACTACACATCTGACATTCATTTCTACAAGATTAATTAAAGTCGATATCTGCCTTGAATATTTGTTAAAGGCAAATAATGCCTAAAAAAACAAATAAATGTTTACTTAAAATGAATTTTATCATTTTGAAATAATTGTTTTGGGGAAGATCAGACATTTGCTATATGAAGAAATAAACGATAAATGTGAAATGATTTTCTATAAAGTAGCAAAATACAAACAAAGTAGTAATTTGACTTCCATACAAAATACTAAGTCACTATATCTGTACATATTATGATATCAAAAGGCAACTGATGAAAAAGGTGGTTTAGGTAATTGGCCAATGAGTAACTTTTGAATACTATCAAAGTAAATGTACATCAAAATTAAAAAGCGTTTGAGAAATAAAAATAAAAACATTTCTATGGCATAATGAGTCTTTAATATAGGAGATATGCTTATATTTTATACCATTGTAAAGTGTTCTTGATTTATATTGTAGATATATTGCAAGTACAGTTTTATCCTTCAAAATTTTTAAAATGACAACACATCAATACCAGGAACGCAGTTATTGTTTTACAAATTGAAATGGATAATGAGTAGGATTTTGTTTAATTGAACTTACGTAAGCATGTCTATTAAAGATCCTGTAACACAATTTTTTTATGATTTTAAATCATAAATATAATGCTCAAATTAAGATTTATCAATATTGTAGGCATAATTTATAAAGATATTACCGAATTTAACATTTCATGTAAATAAAGAGAGGTAATTAGAAATTGATTTTCTATAAAGTTTGAAAATTGTTTTATAAGCATAATTATAAACATATATATAATTTCACTCAAGTGTGGTAAACCGCTTTAATCACAACATACATGATCTTTAAACAAATACATCAGGTTATGGATTTTCGAGGAGAAACTTAAAACCGATTAAAAGTTTCCAAAGAACAGAAATGATTATAATATGTTAGTGTTCCGTGTCAGTTTATGCCATATGTCTGATCTGATAAAAAGAAATTGCATTGTATTAAAATTGCTAAAAGATATTTTAAATGATGAAATAGCTAACAGATATATTATAGGTTAAAGAAAATCGAAAAAAATCCTGCGTTATTGCCTATCTTAATTTAACAACTATATGTAAATAAGTACATATTCAATATTTATTAAACCAAACTTTAACGATTAAATATGATACTTTATATTCATAACAAAGTGATTTTTGCCTTGATTCTCATTAAAGATGACAGTATAAAACGAGAATTATCAGAAGCCTGATATACTGTATAAATACGAGTATGTACAGGCAATTATAAAAAAAGTGATACAAGTTACAGTCGCGTGTAACACGACTTCTTGCAGAGCTCTTGGTGTAGACACCATGTCCTATAGAAAGGGAAAATAAACTTTTCATATATTTCTTTTGCTGTGTAATTTCGTATTTAAATTGTCTTACTTAACATAAAGGCATATTGTTTTGTTTTTCTTTTTATTTTGCCCAATGTTGAGTCTGTAAAGAAACACAGTCACGTCAAAACATATTTTGCTATGCTAACACAAATAGATAGCACAAGAAAGCAGTGCAGTGTATCAAATGTATACTTTAGGACAATGAAAACGCACGGTCGGGATAATTGCATTTTAACAGGGAAAATATATTTCTTATAAATACCTTTTCACAGTTTCATGAAACCGAATGCATTAGGGTCATTTAGATACCAAATTTATGGAAATTATTGCATTTTAATGAAATTATTGCATAATAAAGACAGTACCTGAAAAATTGAAAGTAACACTTTTGGCTAATTGTGATAAGATCACATCAGAAAACAGATTGAACCAATTCATGGTTACTTAATGAAATGAAATTATTTATTTTTTAAATTGTTAATTAATTAACTTGTTTTTCACACCTTTCTAGAAATGTTAGACACAAATGAGCAATTAAAATCTTTATGAAAATGAATATTAACCTATGCCAATGGTCAGTTTTAGAAATCGCAATAGCTCACATGGAAATTGCATGTACACACTTTTCCTCTATAAAAGGTGCTTAATTTCAAACACTACTGAAGACTCTGTAGCAAATTGTATGCAATGGTTCTGCAAAGAAATAATATATAACTGCTGGGTAGATTTAGGACAGATTCAGTCTGATCTATCTTACAAACAAAACGCCAACCGTTTTGGTGTCCATCGGTCTACAATTTCTCGGTTTCACCAACGTTTTCGCACTTCAATACAGGCCGAATTGCGTCAGATTCCACAGGCAACTATCCGCATCGTAAGGTCTATGAGGTGGCGATGTATATCTGTAATAGAAGCTGATGGAGGTCATTGTCGTTTCTTAAGATCTCGACGGTGACATTACGAATAGACATTTATGAGTGACTTTGTTTTGGATTTTGCCTTTTTAAGTTTGCATTACTGTGATGGAAAAGTGTGATTTTCACCTTTACTGGTGTACATTTGATTTTAAACATTTTGAATTATTTTCAATTGTTAAGTTTGCGTTTTGTATTAAACTTATGATATATATCTAATGGAGTCATTAGTGTTTTGTTTTCATTTAATAAAATTCATAATGTGTGGGCGTGCGTTTTCATTTTCCTTAAGTATATTAAAGGCATATTAATTATACCTTAGAAATGAATAAATTTTCATTCTTTGGAAAAGGCACACACATTAGTTGCATAGCGTTTCAAATAATGGTTTAAGAGCATTATATATGTTTATCATGAAGCAAGTAGCTCTGAATATATGTTATAAATGAAAAGTAGCAAAACGTAAACAAAGTAGTATCTCAACTTCGATTCAAAGTATTGTATCATTATTTTCTTATGAATTACCAAAATGCAACAGAAGCAAAAAAAATGGTTTTGGTAATTGGCCAATGAGTGACTTTTTGGAAACTATAACAGGAAATCAAAACAAAATGAGAAATGAAAATAAAACCATTTCTGGGGCATAATGGGTCTTTAATGCATGAATATTTTTCATTAGTTTCCTTTTGCTAAATCATTATACTATATATCATATGTTGTAAACGGTTTACTTTTAAGCCTTTAATGTAAATACATTTTAATAGATATTGATAAGTGTTATCATCAGGAATGCAATTATATCAAATTTATCTTATCATCATGGTGAAATTATAACTATGGTATTTGATACCGTGATAACTATATAACACGGAAGTGAAAAACATAATGCACCACAATAACAGTATAAATGTGCCTATTTCAGTTCAATACCTTGCCTTAGGTTCATCATTATACTGTTTGTCAAAATAATGTTAACATTTACAAGAAACAAACGGCCACACGTTCGGTATTTGAACAACACATTCCGACTGTTGCACCATTGCTTGGAAAATAAATATAGTCAACAATTTTTTAAAGAAAATAAATAGAGGATATTTGTTTAGTTCAGTGTAAGATCGGAATATATTTCACTGGTGGCGCAGCCACGAGTGAAATATGAACTTTTGGTGTTCACGAGGTGAAATATATATCATCTTACTCTGAACTAAACAAATGTTCTTTTTTATTATATGCAAAGAAACGTTTGAAAAGACATTTAGCCTAATACTAAATGAAAATCGCGACAAATAATAAAAATTCAAATGCGTGTCCATTTAAAACATATTGATTATTTTACTCTGAAATGTCACAAAATAAACATATGTTTTAACATTAAGAGAGAAGATAGACATGTGTCACATAAAGAACACAAATTATTTTGCTGATTTCAACATCTATTAATGTCTGTACAGTTTTATGCTTCTGACTGCTTGTATATCTGAAGATAATTGTTGTGTTTGCCATTTCCAGTATGACAGCTATATAACAGTACACCTGTCTCAGCACACCAACACACTGCATGTGGATACTTCAGATTTGACAATAAAACCTTTCCAACAGAACAATCTTCTGATACTTCTTTTATAATATTCCTTTCCTTATCGCATACGAAGACGGTATTATCATCTGACCATGTCATTCCATGTGGTAATCCCAAACCCCTGTAGCTCCCAGTTACCTTTCCTTGCCAATCTAATCTAGTCACCGTTTTCATTAGGGAGTCCGAAATATAGATAGAATTACTGTTTGTTAAAATATATAATGAATTTCCAAAGATATAGTCATTTCGAATTGTTGACAGTACAGTGCCATTTAAATCAAGTATCTGGAACATAACAGGATAGTGGAACGAAACTATAAGCTTATCTTGAAAACAACTTATTCCATAACAGTCGCCATTAACCTTTATCACGTGCTTCATTATTCTGAGCTGGTTTGAGGATGCTGATATAAACTGAATCGTTCGTTTTGAGAGGAGAGTGACAGCAAGTTCTGATTTGTTTACTTTCGTTATACCCCATGGCCTGTCATCAAGAATTAATTGATCTTTAACGGACTGAGAACAAGTATCTACCATTTTTACAGCCTTGTTATTCCAATCAGTTATTATGAGAACATTAGTAGTAAGGAAAGTCATTCCTGTTATCCAGCATATGTATTTATCCTTTGATGTATCCACACAAATTTCCCCTTCGAACGACAATTGTCTAGTCCCTATACATGGAACGGCTGCAGTTCTTGCTCCATGTAATGTTTTGTGCACTACAGTTCCCAATGAGTTTTCTTTCAGCATTGTTGAAAATGTTTCGTTTTTCTTAAATGTGTATTCTTTGACATCAAAATTAGCAAGTTCCTTTAGTTGTTTTTCGCAATCTTTAACAAACTCCTCTACACAGTTTATTTCTATGAAGAGCTTATCAGCTTGTTTTGATGTGTTGAGATTTTTAATTTCACCAGAAGACTTCTGTAAACATTGTATTGCATCATTACAGTGTGTTTCTATCCTTTTTAATTTTTCGGAATTTTCTTGATAGATAATATTCATAGCATCTTCAACTTGTTTTTCAAGTTCATCCAGTCTCTGACTGATATTTTTTCTGAATGCCTGTATATCAAGCAAGACATTTTGGACAGAGTCGTTTGATATTATAATTACTTCATTTACACTGTCCTTTAATTCGTAAAATTTGTTAGAAATTGTGTCCATTGTTCTCATGATATCGTGGTAATATTTTCCATCGATGATATCTTCAGTAATGTCTGGTATATAATTGACCAAGCAAGAAGAAGGTTGATGTTCAAGAGTGTAGCATACACTGCACAGTACTGCTTTATGGTCCTGGCAGAAGAACTTAATGACTTCTCTTTTGTGTTTTGAGCAAAGCTTCGTGAGTGGAGTCTCTCCAGAATCAACATTTATAGATGATTGTAAGGTCTGGTCGTCATCAGAATACAGTGATGATCTTGATGGAGATAATACTTCATTTACTGATTTTCCCGAGATAGCCATTGTTATTCTAAAATAACAATTAATAGGTATAGTTTTCAAAAATGCTAGTAAACGGTACTTTACTTCTGATAGATGAGAATTTTTATATGACATGCAATAATCAAATAGCTGGATAGTAATTTATTAGAATATTTTTATCTTTAGGGGATTAATTAATATTTCATAGATCAGTGTTACAATAACATCGATTCTTGTTTCTGTTCATTGATAAAAGAAATAAGGAAACCTCAGTACAAAAGACACAGAATGCTGACAGCAAACAAAACGTCCTTATCAAATGATCTACTTGTGATTTCAGGAGATTCAAATTATTATAAAAGAAATACATGTAAAGTCAAGTGTACAGTTACCGTGGCACTCTCATGATGGTTGTAAATTACCTGAGATTATATCAATGTGCAGTAGCCAAAATTAATGGTATGAACATGGTCGACACATAAAAATAGAAATTGACAGGTCAAATGACATGGTAAAAGTGACCTTTAGGTATAAAATGGTGTCATTTCAAAAACTCAAAAATGTTGGGCTTGCTTTTACCAGATTAATAGTATGATAGCACTGGGTCATTACAAGCAGACAAAACAATATCAGCTGACCCACCAGAATCACAGACGTAATATTTCAGCAGATGTGACACTATCAGCACACATAATATGTTCTACAGACGTACATTATACCATTATTAACAACAATGACTGTCATCAATCCTGAAATTATTGGCAGTCGTGACATTGACATTGTCAGCAGATGTGACATGAAAAGACTAACTAAACCATTTGACGTGCCATCAGCAGACGAAACATTATCATCGACTTTCAAAATGTTTCTATTTCTTAATTCATATTCAAGAATTTATCATTAAAACCTTAAACTAAAAAGCAATAGAAAGATAAACATTGTTATGGTCAAAACAAAACATAAACCCAACTGTTTTGTGGGGGTTTTCTACATGATATGTCGTGCCGAGTTTGTCATTATAGAAATGACTGTATATATTGATTAATATATAGGTTAAAATCGATTTAGGCTACCCGTCTGTGTATACAGTGAAAATGACGTCGGTAGAATTGTTATCGTATTAATTATAAAGTATTACCTTTATATTTTTATTTAAAAAATCCACACTTTCGTTTTATTGTAAAATTTTCTTCATCACTCAAAAATGGGGCAGCGTAGCGTACTTTATATTTAACTTTAATCAGCATGTTTATCAGCATGTTTTGTCACGAGATTTCGATTTGACACGAAAACAATTGATAGGACATGCACGACGAGTATTGTCGATATTTTTATCAAGTAACTAATGACAAAGCGGAGAGTATATCATGCTAAATACAGTTTGTGATGCAAGATACTGACCGGCTTTTTGTTAGTAACCTAGATTTACGTTTTATCAATAAGCTTTTATAGTGTTCGCCCTATTGGTTTGCAATTACTTGCAACTTTATGAAAGTTGTCGTTTGAGACATTTGTTGCGAAGTAACGAAATGAAACTGAAAATATCTATAACGTGGGCAGTGAGTACATGTGTATTAAAAAAAACATTATTTAATGAATTGCCCTTCGACTGTACATACATTTCATTAAATCTGTTTTTGCTTCAATTTAACTGCTAGTTGATCGTTAGGAAGTACACTTGTTATTAATATTATTTTGATTTATTTGTAGATTTTCATATCTCTTCAATTTCAAATTAGAAAAACTAAAGCTACAAAATATAGTTATAGAGGTGACCTAAAATCATGGGAGAAAATTATAATTCCGTCGGCTATTTATATCAGGGAAGTGAATAAGATTTAAAGAAGTGATGGGAATTCATTGAATAGTGTAGTTCATGTTTGTGCAACAGTTATATAATTATACATAATAACATGTAACATGTTTATTTTATTTCATCAACTAAACAATTCTATGAAACACATTTCCTATTAGTCTTAGGTATTTATATTAAATTGTTCTTAAAAATTTTATTACCTCCACCATTATTTTAAAATTCTATCTTTATGCGACATTCTTTACTTATTTAAAAAAAACAATTGACGAACTGACCTCTATAGAAGAAATCAAGACATTTATCATCGGTAGATGTTAAATTGGTAGTAAGGGCGCGTGACGCATGAATGTGATGTTACGTGTGCCTTCTCCAAAGTTAATTTAATTAAGCTGTTTGAAGCCGGAAATTCGGCAAGAAATAAAACAAGTTTAATTCTGAAATAGTTATTTTACCATGCATTCAAGTAGTTATCTAAAATGTGACATTCTGAATTAATTTAAACTGACTGATAATAATATAGAAGACAATCACTCATGGTAAAACACGTTTAGACTCAGTGTTGAAACTCATCATCGAGTTAAAAATGTAGATAAATGTCTCATAAGATAATATAAAATGACACATATCTTTTACTTTTTTTATTTATTACTTTTCTCCATTAAAAGTGCAATTATTTTAATGTAAATTTGTTGTTTTCATTGCTTCTATGGGATCTCCCCTTTTCCAGATTTTATACATTTAGAATGATAAAAGCATGGCAAATGATAATCTGTTACACAACTTATCAAAAACAATATTATGAAACTATAAAAATCAATCCTTGACAGATAAATATTCTGAGGAAGGTTTTGTCGTTTTTATTTGGAAACAAAAAAAGAAGAATTGTTTATTCCGTACCTAGGAGGTGAGATTATGATATATATTAAGCTAAAACAACGTACTACCATTCGACCGTAAATATTAACACAACCTATGAATTTATTTCGAAGTGCTCTTTAAGACTTTATGTCACACACAAAGCTTTTGTTGAGCTACAGGGATTCGGCCTTTTTATCAAGATTCTATGATTTTTTTTTCTTTTAATTTACTTACAGTTGTTACTGCTTAAATGATATAGAGCTTTATCCTATGAAATATGTTTTATAAAATTTCAATTTCACAACAGTTACAGTTACTAAATTTTCAACACTTAAAAGTGCTGTGAAGTATTAAAATCTGGAAGAAGGATGATCTCTCGGAAGACTTAACCACAACAAAATTACATGACAATTGCAGACAAATTGTATTGTTTCCATAATCTTATTGACGATTCTCTCAAGAGCTGTAACATAAAATATGTCTGATGTATAAAACACACGAATATTATATGTAAACAACATAAAATATCCAGCTAAACAAACTATTGTGAAGCTATTTCAAGTAGGGTTTTAAAAGTTTAGCAATGATTTCATGCACCCGCCGTCCGCATTTGAGCAAATAGACTACAAGCATTTTTTATTTTGTTTTTAAATTCAAACAATATTTTTTGCAACAGATATATAGCTTTATACACTTATTGATCTAAATTTGAAATTGCTTTACATTTGATATATCAACAATTTGGCAGCGCATTAAATGTACTTGAGACATGAGTTATGTATACACCAGATTAAAGTAAGTCAGACCCGACCTGTATCGATGAGATAACAAAAGGTGATAACTTGATACATTGACAAGTAACAAGTTTATTTTTCAATAAATTACCTTATAAGTATACTTGAACCTCATAGGGAAGCGCATTTGGTTGGGAGATGTTATCTAATTGAAAACTGAATTATCATAGGTAATGTCAATTGGATTGTGCTTGACGCTTTGGTTTAGATATTAATTTGATAGTATTGCACGAAAGGAGCTCGGGGCAGAAAGTACTCTACAAAAGAAAAGTAGAATGGTTTGTGTAAAAGGTAATGTTTATTTCTTCTTCTTTTTTTGTGATGATAAAGATTAATTAAACAAAATCAAAATTAAAAAACTAATCCTTTCGTCATCAAAGAGTTGTAAATGGGTTATGAGAATGAGGAAAAATAAGCAAATGTGGAATAAATACATGTATATTAGACATCAGTAAGATAAGAGATAAATGAATTAAAAAGTGTGCTCTAAATGCGAACAAATTTAACATTTATTTTGACATTTAATTGCTTTGTAACTCTTTTTTTCATTGTCTTAAATTAAATTCTCATATCAAAAAAATGAATAGAAGAAAATAATTAGTTGGTTTTTTCCACATGTTTTGTCTAGAAATGTGTTGCTGATTTATGTTCACGTGATATCAGGATTTCTTAAATGGAGAATATGTTAAAAATCTTACAAATAATCAAAAGGAATAAAAGGTATTTAAGTTGTTTTTTTTGTTGTTTTTTTTTTTCTAAAAATTCATCGAGTGATATGAAAATAGATATTTCATAAGTGACGGATGCCACAAACGATATATGATATTTTGCATACCATGAGATGAAAGTAAATCCTGTATTTACAGAAAAAAACTTAAATAATCTGTTTATTATATACATTTTTCTTCTCTTTTTGACATTACCATTTGAAAGACATCCTCTTAAATTTTGTATATTTCGAATATAGAAAAAATTAGTCCGGCAAGGCATCAGTGAAATTACGGAAAATATGTTTCACTGCAGTGTAAAAAAGTTTTACTGTGAAAATACGAAAATGAAAATACGCATTTTATTTTATCAATATTTCTCAATATGTCATTTATAAGATATAATAAATATGGATATTCATTTTAACCATGTTCGCATAGTCTTTTGATTGATGTACAGATTAATGATTAACGCCCAATCCCTATCCGTAATCGTAGTCATTTTTGCACATTGATACTGTGTGATAATGCAGATATTCATATTAATTTTCGCAATGTTTTTCCTTATACAGGCGGATATATCTTCGTTGTCATGGCGACTGGATGGTTGCTAAGGTACGTTAATGTAATTGATTTACTGTTCAAATAGTTTTTCTTGTCGTCCTTAGCGATCTGTTAGAATAAATCGCAAAAATGTTTTCCCTTAATTTCTTTTTAGAAAACATTTTTGACAAGAATTCATCTAAGTTACTAATGATGTATCACCAATCCACATACATTCAATATCAAACTATTCATGTTTTATTTTTTTTTAAAAATCCACATTTTAGTTCATGAAATTCGCGCAAAGACATATGTCGTAAAGTT